AATATCCTCAAACTGGGTCTGTTTGATGTCCTGTTATGTAGGATCTATTCTGGAAATCAATTTAAAACAACTGCCAGGGTAGATCAGCTTGCAAAACTATGCCCACCATTGGATGACAGCTGTGCTTGAAAAAGTGAACACAAAATTGTCGTTGAGAAAAGCATTTGTTCATGAAAGCTGATATCAAGATGCCATGCTCATGCATGAATGAATGCATTTTCTTTGATCAAACCTCTGAAATCAGAACCCTTCACTGCAGGGAGACAGTATGACATTTGGGATAAGCAGCAACGTATAGAATATTCTTCTGAAGTATCAGCTCTTGTTTTTGCTTGCTTGTATGCTATATAATGCTGCACTCAGCAACAAGGGCAGATCAAGCATTTTTATAAGGGAGGGGTCCAAAATATCAAATTCGTCTCTCAGATAATTTTATTGTCTACTACACACTACATACTAAATTTGGTTTTCAAAAGGGGATCTCTGGACCCCTCTGGATCCGACTATGAGCCATACTCCAGCTATATGATGATGGCTTGTAAATAAATGAGTCTGGATCAGACAAGCCAGTGATTGATATGGATCAGACAAGCCAGTGATTGATATTGAAAGCAATGATCCACGCTGTCAGAATAAGGTGATATGTAATTATTATTCTCTATATCAGTTCCGACGTTTATAGTCAGTTAACTCCCTTGCCTGGGGAAGATGACACTGGTCTGACAATGACAAGGCTGGTCATTGGTTTTACTCTTCAACAGGACAATATTCTCACTAGTAGGCACTCTAGTCCATAACACTCTTCACCACACATTTAGTGACGTCTTAGTCATTTGTAGGGGGCACGGGTGGCCCAGTCGTCTAAGGCGCTACAATTTGCTGTGCAGAGTTGCGTCCCTTGGGGACGCCAGAAACCTATGATTGTGGGTTTGAATCCCGGTTCGCCCTGATTATGTTTCTAGGTTTGTCAGCACCATACCCGTGCTCGTGGGTTTCACCAAAGTGGTAAACGTCTGAGACCTGCATCACTTCGGGCTTTCCTCCCACATTAAGCTGACACGCCGTGATATAACTGGAATACTGTTAAAAGCGGCGTTAAACCCAACTCACTCACTTAGTCATTTGTCCTCCAGCAAAGCACTCATCCTAACAAAGAGCCACTAGCTTTAAGTCAATGTGTATCTGTGAGCCAATACACCCTCCAGACAATTCATTTGAAGCAAAGGCCTGCAGAGAACATAGAACCACAATGAAAACACATTCGATTGAACTCCACACAATACACAGCGCTCTGAAAGGAATGAAATGTGGCAAATCTCCTACAATGGCCATGTTGATATCACACAAGACTGATCTCATCACACCTCTCCAGACATAATTTCCTGTTGAGGCAACTTAGATGTTTGGAAAAACACATTCACAACACATGCATGACTGTATAGTCTGATGCAGCACCTCATCAGGCTGCTATTACTACCAGACATATTTCCTTGTGAGACAATACGTTGATATATACACCACACAGGGACTTACCTGGGCTTGACTAATGTGTCCTTGAGATTCTCAGACTCTCACTGATTTTAAGCACTGCACATGATCTGAAGAGTGAGTGAGTGAGTATGGCTTTACGCCGCTTTTAGCAATATTCCAGCAATATCACGGCGGGGGACACCAGAAATGGGCTTCACACATTGTACCCATGTCGGGAATCGAACCCGGGTCTTCGACATGATGAGCGAACGCTATAACCACTAGGCTACCCGACCGCCCAATGATCTGAAGACTTATGCTAATAGTGTTAAGAAGTCAGGTACAGAAAGTCTTAAGTTAGCCACAACATAAACATCTCCATTGTAAAACATTTTTGGAAAGCATTCAATGTAGGTGGTCGACAAACAAAATATATTTACAAATTCAACTTCCAAATTAACTTGAAAAACCAACATTAGTCCTAATTTGATACTAGTCACATACACCCAAAAATACTCTCAAAAGAAGTTAAAGATCACTCCTGCATTGACCAGATGACTTGACAGATTAACTAAAGAAATATGAAAAAATCGGTTGTTCTCTAACTCCTTTAGATGGTATTTATTTATAGCAAAACACAAGAACAATGGTGTATTAGTGTATCCATGACTCAGCTTCAGCCATCAGTTTGTAAAATGCAGTTGTCTTGTCTTTTAAACACTAACAAAATACATGTTCTTATTACGGCATCAAATAGTGAATTGTCCCAAAAATATTTGTAAAAGGATCTCTTTTTGTAAAATTTCAATTTTTTATGCGGATAAGTTTTTTAAATCATCTAAGACAAATATAAAAGGTCTAAAGGCCGTACATGTCACTATAGAAATTAATCCTGAGATTCTTTAAGGTCCATGTTTTCATGCTGTCTAAACAAAATACTCAGGGCCGTGGCTATATTTGTATGTTCTTGCTTTATTTCCACCCAAAGGACCAGACAAGTAATGTTCTCCAACAGCCTAGTTTTGCATCCAGCATACAGGAAGTTGACATACTGCCATTGTGAACCACAGCTTCAATCAGCCGTCCACATTACAGTTGTTTGAAGTGCGGCAGTCCGTGTATATAAAGCCTGTGTTATAGAGTCGGGGCTGTAGGGCACTCATTAGGCTAAGTGAAAATACATATAAAACACAAACATGGAAAATAACGGGTAAACTGACAGCTTCTGTGGTTAGATGTTGACAGAACAGAATCTCTGTAGGATGTCAATATAAAACGATGCATGACAAATGTACCTCTAAGATGTGTCTTACATCTTAAGTCAAAGGCACCAAAATACATGTAATTCACAGGGAGGGCAAATTGGGGGGAAATTGTGACATGGTTCAAAATTTGATTTTGTTAATGTTCTTATGAATTGGAAATTTTTTAATTCAATTTAGCTATTTGTACTGTTATTTGTTGCAGACTGGGACTGAATATAAGCCTCTGAGCAGGTATCATTGATGATTTCTGAGCCTCTATTAAGCTTGTTGATAGCCAAAATTAAACCCTTGGGTACAATACATAAATAACCAAAAGCTTATCTATAGTCTGGATTTGTTGCTATTTATACCCTCCGTCGTTTGTTTTTATTGTTTACAATTACTGTAATTATTATACATAATACTCACTTTTTCATAATATTTAGACTTTAAAATTAGGGGTGCGTATTTATACACAAGAACTAAATATTACTCCCTTTTCCCAAGTGAGTGGCCAAACAACTGAATGGTATGACCATGATGACTGGAAATTACCGTTATTAAATCCACTGATGTATATGTGTAAGCATAAATCCCACCATTTACCTTCATTTGTGTGTGATAATGATGATATATTGAATGTGTATTACTACTTCATTGTTTCAGCTACCATTTTCCCACAAGGTTGCAAAGCTCTGCTCATGTGATGCTCATTGAGGATTTGTTGCTATTGTTCGAGTAATTTATTTGTAAATTATTTTTAATCACATTGTGAAGGTCAAGTCTCTTCCAGTTATCTATGTTAAGATCCGGGGTACAATAGGTCTCCAGCAACCCATGCTTGCCACAGAAAGGTGACTATGCTTGTCGTAAGAGGCGACTAACGGGATCGGGTGGTCAGACTTGGTTGATGCATGTCATCATATCCCAATTGCATGGAACAATGCTCATGATGTCAATCACTGGATTGTCTGGTCCAGACTTGATTATTTACAGACCGCTGTCATAAAGCTGGAATATTGCTGAGTGCAGCGTTAAACAACAAAAAGAACAAATCAATTGTCTTTGACAATCCCATTCCCATGTGTTTAATCTCCATAGTAACTCTATTCCGTGCTTGTAATCAGGCTTAAGTGAGTTTCTGACCTGTGTGTTATATTATGATAGTATAGATATTTAAACCTCACAGGTCTATCCAATTACTACACATCGTGAGGCCATCTTAATCAAAGACAAAAAACACTGTAGCAGGGAAATATCCATTACAGCTAGGCCTCATAAAATATGTGTCTTATTCCGCATAATTAACCAACATTGTCTTGACCTGAAACGTTTTGAAACAATATTATACATGCTGAATTTGTTTGGGTTAATTTACATTTAAAATTTGCACATTTTGATGTAACCCATCTTGACCATGCTGCGATCAGCAAAGACATTTGTGATTTCAGCTTTTATTAAAGCCGACACAAACATACTCTCCTTCTGTTCTTTCTATTGTTGTCAATTTCCGGAATCATTATGTATAGTATGATGATACAGAGAATGACATGCTTACCTTTGTATGAATTCATATTTTAATTCTAGATATACATTTGTATTTTCAAAAGTATTACTGTATTTTTTTAAATTTTAATAGTGGTGGTAAAAAAAATGCAAAACAGATCTGGTAAGATCAAGTACGATAAGAACAAGCATAATTAACCAATGAAGCATGTAAACACATATTGGCTGACAGCAACAAGCCAGATTGAATGGTAGTATCATACATATTGTATCATGACACAATACATTGTACAGCATGAGGTTACCAGGACACCCCTGCTGAAATCAGCAGTCATTCTGACAACACAATCACTGTTACTTGTGTAGTGAACAAAGAACACTAGCTGTCTGTATCAGCATCAGAGGAAACTGCTGTTTAGGGATGTGGAATTCAGGGTATCCATTTCAGAGAGTGTCCACTGTATAATGTGAGGTGGAATTAAGAGTGTCCAGTATAGAGAATGTCCACTTAATAGTGTGATGTGGGATTCACTGTATAATGTGAGGTGGAATTCAAGGTGTCCAGATTAGAGAGTGTCCACTGTAAAGTGTGAGGGTGAATTCAGGGTGTCCAGGTTAGTGAGTGTCCACTGTATAATATGTGGTGGAATTCAGTGGTCATATTTGAGACTGTATACTGCGAGGCAGAATTCAGAATGTCCAGTTTAGAAAGTTCCATTGTGAAATGTGAGGTGGAATTAAGAGTGTCCACTGTACAAAGGTTATAAACTGAGTACTTACTTTCTCTCTATACACATATGCCACTATTCCGATGGAAACTTGGAGGAGGAAGGCAATGATGGTCCCCACCAGAAACTGAAACATAATCATCAAGCATTACTACTATATAATATCAATGTGACCCACAGGGGAAAAGAGACCTTGTGGGTGCTAGGGTACAATTGTGCTGTGATGTCATAAAGAAAGATGTTTGAGGTCAATTTACTTCTGCATAAATTGCCATGAGTGTGGACTGTACAAAAATATCTTATTCTTCTCGCATTAGTTTGCAATGTAATAAAAACATTATTTCAAAACATTTCAGCATACATATCTGCTTTCAATTATCAGACGCTATATAAAAATACTGCAATCATTACATAAACAGTTATGTGTCTGAAAATGGGACTTTGCAGAAAATGAGTCCAAATATTTGATGCCATGTATCTCTGTAATATATATGAACTGAATGTTATGAATTGTACTTTTGGGGTCCTAGGATACTGTAGTTCTAAAATATAATAAGAAGTCAAAATGTGATCTTTCACCCATGTCCCCTATCTTATGGTTGGTCACAATTATGATGAATATCCGGGGAAGAATAGGTCTTCAGCAACCCATGCTTGCCGTAAAAGGCGACTTTATAATATGCTTGTCGTAAGAGGCGACTAATGGGGTCGGTTGGTCAGGCGCACTGACTTGATTGATGCATGTCATCGTATCCCAATGGCGTGGATCGATGCTCATGATGTCATTCACTGGATTGTCAATTATTTAGACCGCCGTTATATTGCTGGAATATTGCTGTGTGCGGCGTTAAACAACAAACAGAACAGAACCATTACCAATTTAGTATAGGGCCCTTTGTATTGTGGTAAAACACAGTCTGTCTGTGCTTCTATTCAAAGACACGAATTGAATCATTGAATCATGCTTCAAATTGTTATTACACCAATTGTATCAAGTACATTTCAATGGATGTTTCAATCAGTTTACTGCTAAATCAAGAATCAAAAGGATTTTGTATAAATGTATAGGTGCTATTTGAGATGGACATCAGAATTAAAGATGTGGACTTATCAAGTCTTATTTGCAGTTTTCGTTATAATGTATACATAGCTGTGTAATACTAGGTAACCAATCAAATACTACACAAATCATAAAGAAGCTTGAATCACGTGCTACCCACCTGTCGGAATTAAATGACATTACTAACCATTATCATGAAACTATTCAGCGCTCAAGATAAGCTGTGTATTTGAGTAAAATACACACAAAATAAACAGAAATATGCAGACAAATCAAATCCTATTAACAAAAACAATAAATATGCTTTCAAATAAAATAAATGCGTATATTATAACTGCTAGATAAAATGATTGTGCATCAGCCGAGCACCACGTTCACTAACCGACAGTTACATTCGGACAGCTTCTGCAACAAACATACTGATGCCAATTGAAAAACACATCAATGTGCCTAGTCAGTGTACATGTTGTATCTGAATTAGTTACTGATTGATCAAATTAACAAAAAATGGCTTTCCGGAGAGGGAGTCGCAAGCAGACACAGATGGGTATACTACTATTTACATAGCTTCAAAAGATATACAGGGAGTTACAAAACAGGTGTTAAGTCAAATACCCAAGTGTAAAGAAACAGGTATTTGAATACCCTCAAAAACTTGTGGATACCCAATCAAAATCAAACCCCTGGTTATAATACCCAAATAACCAAAAGCTTATCTATAGCTCTGAACTAATAATACTTTGTACAAAGTTATATAAATCAGTTGTAGAAATCTAGAAATGTCAAGACTGATATTTATACACTTCCTTCAACAATTTTTCTGTCTGGCATAATTCATCAGTTTCCCATTAAGGGGCACATTCTTTCTGACAGAACGAACAAACACTTTTCACAGCACAATGAGTCATTTATTCAAGCGCAAAATTAGAAACAGAAAATGATTCCTTTGAAGTTGTCTCAAACTAAATAGTTATGCGGGCAACATGACATTCTATTTTCAGCCTCGGACCAAATGGATTGCATCAAGTCTATTTATAACCTAAAAAATGAATCCCACCTCCCTTTCATCAACACTGTCCGTGAATCTAGCACGATTTCTAATATGGAACACATAACCATGCAACTAATCCACTCTTGTCACTAGCTGAGTGATCAAAGAGGAAGCTGGTAAATGAAAGTGAATAGGTGCATAGCAGTTTGACACAAGGGTCGTGTCGATTCACACCAATCTAGTCTCATCACCCATGACAATCCCTTGAATATTGAACAAAATTCATCGTGAATCGCTTATTGATTCTTCACGAAGCTATCCCGTATGAAAAGGGCTCATTGTCCACTAAATCTCTATAGACTCGGGCAGGAAGTCTGTCAGTCCTCGGTGCAGAGGATTTGCATTCATTGGTTCAACAACATATATGAAATGCCTTCAAGTGTATTTATTATGCAACAAGGGGTTAACATGCTATCGAGAAAATTTACGAGTGATCAGTGAAAATTTAAAAGGATTATCAGTACGAGTGACCAGCATACCCATCAGTGATTGGTTGGTGGGATGAAGGGAGTTGAAGGAAGTAACGTGACACTACCAAGTGTGAATTGGTACGAGTTTAGAGGCTTAATTTCAGTTCCCCGGGGCTGCTGGTGATATGGCCGAGGATTCCTTTGGGCGATGAAATAAATATCATGTAAACACAATTGTACGGACTGGCTGTATTGATGGCTGGCATAATGGAAAGTGTATATTTTGAGTTATGGATTTGTGGTGGCATTCCCTCAGGGTTATCATCGTGATCATTGCCTCCATAAAAGTGCAAAAAAATAACAGGCGAAAAGTTTGCTCTATTTCAATTCCATGTGTAAATTAACCATAAATTTGATTCCCAGTCCCCTAATGTAAACTGTCAGGGTGATGCAAGAAAATCTATCAGACATGTCAGAGGAGAATTCGGGATTCACGATAAATTTTTATTGAGCATATTTCGAAATTCACTACATTAATCTTTCCTAATATTGCTTAGGTTTATAGCTTGAAGGGAGTTGCAGCAGAAACAGTCATATTGCACTTGATTGATGATGGAAACCGTTATTGATCTGCTCGTCTCATGGATGGCTGATCTTGGGATAGCGAGTCCAGGATGAGAAAATCTCCGAGACACTGACTGATACAACACTGGGTGGAAGGCTGGGTAGATGGGTGGTAAGACAGATGGGTAGATGGGTGATACAATGGATGGGTAGATGGGTGATAAGGGAGGGTAGATGGCAGATAAGATGGATGGGTAGATGGGTGATAAGGAATGGGTAGATGGGTGATAAGATTGCTGGGTAGATGGGTGATAAAAGATGGGTAGATGGGTGATAAGATGGCAGGGCAGATGGGTGAAAATGGCTGGGTAGATGGGTGATAAGATGGATGGGTAGATTGGTGATAAGATGGATTGGTAGATGAGTGATAAGAGGGTGGGTAGGGAGTGAATGTTCAATGTTTAAGCCCCACAAATAGTTCATATTCCAGATATTCTATGGCTGTCACTAAATCATCAAGCTTGGTTCAGGCAAACCTGTGGTTGACAGCATGAAGAACACTGTCAGGGCACGATGACAAGACTATCGGGACATGATGACAGACTATGGGGACATCATGACAGACTATGGGGGCACGATGACAAGACTATCGGGACATGATGACAAGAGTATCGGGACATGATGACAGACTATCGGGACATGATGACAGACTATTGGGACATGATGACAGACTATTGGGACATGATGACAGACTATGGGGACATGATGACAAGACTATTGGGACATGATGACAGACTATGGGGGCACGATGACAAGACTATCGGGACATGATGACAGACTATGGGGACATGATGACAGACTATGGAGGCACAATGACAAGACTATCGGGACATGATGACAGACTATGGAGGCACGATAACAAGACTATCGGGACATGATGACAGACTATGGGGGCACAATGACAAGACTATCGGGACATGATGACAGACTATGGGGGCACAATGACAAGACTATCGGGACATGATGACAGACTATGGGGACATGATGACAGACTATGGGGGCACGGTGACAAGACTATCGGGACATGATGACAGACTATGGAGGCACAATGACAAGACTATCAGGACATGATGACAAGACTATCGGGACATGATGACAGACTATGGGGGCACGGTGACAAGACTATCGGGACATGATGACAGACTATCGGGACATAATGACAGACTATGGAGGCACGATGACAAGACTATCAGGACATGATGACAGACTATGGAGGCACGATGACAAGACTATCGGGACATGATGACAGACTATGGGGACATGATGACAGACTATGGAGGCACAATGACAAGACTATCGGGACATGATGACAGACTATGGGGGCACGATGACAAGACTATCGGGACATGATGACAGACTATGGAGGCACGATGACAAGACTATCGGGACATGATGACAGACTATGGGGGCACAATGACAAGACTATCGGGACATGATGACAGACTATGGGGGCACAATGACAAGACTATCGGGACATGATGACAGACTATGGGGACATGATGACAGACTATGGGGGCACGGTGACAAGACTATCGGGACATGATGACAGACTATGGGGGCACAATGACAAGACTATCGGGACATGATGACAAGACTATCGGGACATGATGACAGACTATGGGGGCACGGTGACAAAACTATCGGGACATGATGACAGACTATCGGGACATAATGACAGACTATGGAGGCACGATGACAAGACTATCGGGACATGATGACAGACTATGGAGGCACAATGACAAGACTTTCGGGACATGATGACAGACTATGGGGGCACGATGACAAGACTATGGGGGCACGGTGACACACTATTAGCACGGTCTCACAGTGTAGCCAGTCACTGGTCAGCTGGAATGGAGTCCTGGGGAGATGAGAACCTACCCTCATCGGTATTCCCTCATGCTCAGGCTGTCAAGCACTGACAATACTTGCTCAATACTTAGACATTTCCAAGATGTAGTCAGCAGTATTCAATACGACTC